ATGCAATTCATAGATGACAAAAAAAAAAAAAAAAAAAAAAAGCTTAAGCTTGTCTACACTACAACATGGTAAAAGAATGAGCATGCTCGTAGTTATGATGATCACCGATTCACCATATGTAAGATGAAGCAGAAGAAATGGACCGCATCTCTATAACATGGATAAATGTCAGACCTCATCCCTTGCCCTTGTATCAAATCCCTTAAATTCATTGAACTCCAACTAGTTACTGAAAAAATCATTTATCATCCTTGAACCGTCCATCCTTTGCAATTAGAGTAGACTCCAAAAAAATTCTCTATTTTAAAATTTTCAAAATTCTATATTTGAAGTTTCAAAGTATTTTTCTCCAAAAAAAAACTTCAAATTTAACTTCAAAATTATTTCTATTTTACATTTTAATCCTTACATTTGTTATAGTTAATATAAATTCATAAAACATTGATAAATAATATACACATATATATAAATTATACAACAATATTAATTAATAAAATATTACACTAAAATATAAAATTATAAATACAAATACATGATTATTACAAATAGAATACCACATTTTTGTTGTCTAATTTTAATTTTAAAATATTTAAAAATACTAAAATACAAGTAACTATTTTAAATTTTATTATAAATATTTATTTAGTTTTATGTCTAAAACTTAAATTTATAAAAGGTAAAGTTTAATTTGAAATATTTATAAGGTTTAAAGTTTTTTTATGGATTAAAACAATAAACAAAAAAAATATTTATGAATTCTAATTTTTATTTGTAATTGTAAGAACCAAAATGCAGTTAAAAAGAAGAAACTTCAAATTTAGAGTTTGAGTATTGAAACTTTAAATATAGAATTTCACTCTTAAAAACTTCAAATTTGAAGTTTTAAGGTATCTTTTTGGAGAGCAAAAAAATTATATATTTGAAGTTATAGAGTTTCTTTTGGAGATGCTCTAATACCATAATTAATCTCGGGTTCTTATGATAGGGTCCTTAGTGGAAATTAAGAAACTATTTTTTAACATTTAATTAAAAACGTTTAGAACCGGTTCTTAAAATCCTTATCTAAGAGTCAGTTCTTAAAGTCCTTATCTAAGAACCAAATCTTAGTTTTTTTAGTTAAAATTTAAGAAACATTTTCTTTAATTCCGCTAAGAACTTTTTTAAGAACATCATTGACAGTTTCCCAAAAAAAAAAAAAAAAAATATATATATATAAGAGAAACTCTTATTGAGAAATTGCACTATTTTTTTGAGAGATACATTTAACATTTATCAAAAATAATAATTTATTTTATTTTAATATTGAAATTTAGTTTGAGAAATTCAATAGATTTATCACCACTGCTGAATTACGAATATTTTATTTATATATCATACCATTATCACTAGAAAAGGACATTTTATGTCCTTATTACTATTTGATATATAAACAACCATTATTTTATGTCCTTATTACTATTTGATATAAACTACCATTTAACTTTTTGCATGAATTCACATAAATCATATAATACCAACTTTTTCTTCTGATGAAAACTGTAAAGCAATATGTAAACTATAGGTCTATGATTAAATTGTTACTGGGCGGCCTAAGAAATAAATAAATATATTTCAGCATCCTTTACAATCATGAAAACGACATATTTTTTTCTATAATACGAAGTTATTAACGTGAAATATATTATGAGTTAAAACGATTGGACGATTTGATTACTGGTTTCCTGACTAACCCCATACACTCGTCCTCGGTTCTTTGGATCCTCACTAATTTTGAAAATAACATGATATCTTGCTTATAAATGATCAACATTAACTAAAAACTATGATATCTTCGCACTAAATTGTTATTATAAAAAAAAACATTTGGGTCGGGAATGTAACGTTATAGTTATTTGATGATGGGATCATACCGTGATATTTGGATCAATCACATAATAAGGATACGATTTCTTTGATTTAATCCAAAAATCATGTCACAAAAGAGTGTTACGTTTAGCTTGGATCAACATATAGTAACATATATATATATCAAATGTAATGTTGGATTAGCTTTTTTTACACTTACAGTTATAGTAAAAACTTAAAACATACGCTTTTTAAAAAAAAAGAACCGTGTTCAAATTAAACAAAATGGCTTATTTGTTTATTTTATTTTTGGAATCCAATATCATTTTTCAGTACAAAATGTCGGATGAAACAAAAAGATATGCTTCAGGCACATTTTAAACGTATGTTCCTTACGTATATACTAAATTGATAGCCGCTAAATGAGCAGCTTAAGCCTTAAATTTATAATTAGTGGTTGATCAATTAAATTAATTTAGTGATTGATAGCCGCTAAATCAGCAGCTTGAATCTTAAATAAATAAATAAGAATGCTATTTATACCATCAACTACTTACTACTAGTGGCCTACGTAGGGACTACTACACACTCGTATCTTTGGGAGATTTATAACGTTGTATTATTGGAGGTTGTAAATCTGCCGTCACATCTTACTAAGAAGGAAATTATTATCACAAGATCAATAAAATAAAAACTTGCATTGTATAAAATAACTCATCACATCATTGCTATTGATATTATACATAAACTCATAACATCCGAAGATCCTCTCAAACCAAAACAGTTACGCAACTAACCCATCATCCTATGGATTTTGCATCTTCTTCAATGTTCGCATCAGATTTTGCCAATGAAAGTGAACTAGATCTATCGAGTTTGATAACTCCTTCAACGTTTATACCATTCCAAGAACCTAATCCATCTACACGGACCATTCACTGTGCCGTTGCTGAAAACGATGGAAGACAAAGCATCCGTGAAGAGACCATGACCGATGAAATCACAAAAGAAGATGTTGAGCGGAAGAACAAGAGAGCGAAACATAGAGAGATTGAGAGACAAAGAAGGCAAGATGTCACATCTCTTTTCAAGAATCTAAGATATATATTGCCATTTCAATACATCAAGGTAAATACATTTTAACATTCTTATTTATCATCTTTATTGATTATATTCTTCATTCATATATACAATTAATCTTTGTTTTGATCTACAAAATAATTATATACGGTAATGCGTAAATAGGGCAAGCGTTCTTCGTCAGATCACGTTCAAGAAGCTGTGAATTACATAAAAGATTTAGAAAAGAAGATTAAAGAGATCAGCGAGAAGAGAGATCGAATCACGAGATCTATTACTCATCCATATTCAACAGGAGTATCATCATCATCATCATACTGTTCTTGTGTTGGAGACACACATCTCGATGTTAAGGTCAGGACTTGTTTGGTGGGTATCGAGATCGTAGTAAGTTGCTGTTTCAGACACGAATCTTGTCTTTCAAGTATTCTTCAGCTTCTGGTTCAAGAACAATGTCTTAATGTTGTTAGTTGCATCTCAGCTAGACTGCACCCACGATTCATACACACCATTGTTTCTGAGGTAGTTTTTATTTTCATTGAAATTGTGAAGTAAAATGGTATACATGTTAGTTTTAAGGAGACTTGTAAAAATTTTGCAGGTCGAGGAAGGAATAGACATTAACTTCTCAAAGCTTCAAGAAAAGATAAAACAATGGGAAAGTAGCAGTTAAAAAAAATGCTGATATCTACTTTTAACTAAGTACACATTAGAATTAATATTTTGCTCATGTGTTATTTATGCAAAATGTCATTTTCTTTTATTATGTGTCTGGAATATTTATTAATGGTATATTTTGATTTTTTTTTTACCATCTTTTCAAATTTATTTAGTCTAAAATCACTTTTTATTAGTAACAAAATAAATCAAAAGATCCCCAAAGATAGGGGAGTTTGCTATTATATACCTGACATGCAGAAACCAAGTGAGATTTAAGAGATGTATTCAACTAAAAATTTGATGTGATATGCATTAAAATGAAAAATTTACTGTTATTTAAAATTGATTTTTCTAAAAAAAAATCATCGTTATTGAACTTATTATTTGTTAACTACTAATCAGAAATTCTATGTTATTAAATATATTTTAAGTTGTATATGTTAGGGTATATCTAGTTATTTTAGAGTGATTGGATGAAGTTTTTAAATTAAAAAGATAAAAATCTGATGATGAGATTTTTTTTTGAAAAGTACAAATTACTTCATATTATAGATTGAATACACACTCTTTACTTTGTAACAACTCCAAAAAGGACATAGCAAAAATAGAAAAAGGGGCATAAACACAAACAACATTTTCAAACTGTGTCTTGTCATATCAAATAGCATATTTAAATCAACTTTTTCTATTTATCAAAAATACAATTGTTCTATTTATCAAGTCGAAGACGTTTAGGTTTGTTTATTTATATTTATATATGAGTTAAACATCTCCTGTATATTTTACAAAGTCTACAATTCTACAAACAATAATGTATAAACCATAAAATTTATCTTTCTTCTCTAAAGCTGTTCATATATCTAATTATTTTTTAAAAAAGTGTATGTTCCAAACGTTGCAAAGAATAAATTGATATTGACAACAATATTGACTAACAACATATAACAAAGTATATTATATATTAAAAAATAATAGTATCAAAATAAACATAAAAATAACAGTGTTATAGATATATAAAATATATAATAGTACACTATAAACGATATATTTAATAATTTTATCATATAAACTAAATTGTATTAATATAAATTAAATATTTTTTGTATGTTTGTATTTTTTTGTAAAGCTGTATATATATAGTTTATTAACCTTTTTTCTGTTTGTATGTTTGTGTGTTTTTGGTAAAGTTGTATGTATATAGTTTATTAACCTTTTTCTGTTTGTATGTTTGTGTTTTTTGGTAAAGCTGTATGTATATAGTTTATTAACCTTTCTTAAACGTCAGATAAGCATTCTTGAACCTTTCTGTTTTAAGTAGTTTCTTTCTTTTTTCTAACGAATCTGGGGATAGTTGTTCAAATATATTTTTCAGAATGTACATTTATTAGTCTTAATAAATGTAATCAGTGGTATTAAAAAAGTTATTTATTATTCCCTAACCAAAGGAATAATAGTTAGGTGGGTACACGTTAAGTAATATAGCGAGAAAGGCCTCACCATACTCAACACTCCCCTCAACGTCAATGTCGGAATCTCCACTCCTCCTCGTCCACCGGCCACCGACAATGAAATACATGGACGAGTCTCTGACTCGTTACTATCGTATTCTCACCACTCACACCTCATCGGATCCACTCCCGATCTTCCTCTCCCGTCACGCCTCCTCCGTCAGAGCCGTCGTCAGCATGGGCAGGCTCAAGATCGACGCCGACTTCCTCTCCCACCTCCCTTCTCTCCAGCTCATCGTCTGCACCAGCGTCGGCACCGATCACGTCGACCTCCCCGAGTGCAAGCGTCGCGGCGTCGCCGTCACTAACGCCGGCGGAGCTTACTCGGAAGACGTGGCGGACTACGCCGTCGGTTTGCTGATTAGCTTCCTCCGTCGGATTCCGGCGGCTGATCGTTACGTAAGGTCTGGTAAGTGGGCGAAATGCGGAGAGTTCCAGCTTGGAATCAAGGTTTGAATCTGATCTTATTACAGTGAGACAACTCTGTTCCAATCATTCTTGGAGAAAGATGAGAACTTTCTTTTGATGAATCTTTCTTATTAGGAGAAAGTAAAGAATTTTCTTGTGATTAATCTTTCTTATTTGGAGAAAGAAGATAACTTTCTTATGATGAATCTTGTTGTGGTCTACTCTACTTGTCTTCCTGTTATGATGATACTCTGTTTTTTTTTTGCTAACTTACTCTGTTTTATTCCAAACTTACTCTGTTTTCTCTGTTTTCTCTGTTTTTATTCCAAACTTACTCTGTTTTCTCTGTTTTTAATGCAGTTAAGTGGGAAGCGAGTTGGGATACTTGGACTAGGAAGCATCGGCTCTCTTATAGCTAAAAGACTCGAACCTTTTGGCTGCATCATCTCTTACAACTCGACATGTCGGAAACAGAGCATTCCCTATCTTTACTACCCGGACGTTGTCTCCTTAGCAGCAAACAACGATGTCATCATCCTCTGCTGCGCTCTGAATGATCAAACGCGTCACATTGTGAACAGAGAAGTGATGGAGGCGCTTGGGAAGAACGGGATTGTAATCAATGTGGGACGAGGAGGATTGATTGATGAGAAGGAGCTGGTTAAGTGTCTGGCCGATGGTGTGATTGGTGGTGCCGGTTTAGATGCGTTTGAGAAAGAACCGGGAGTTCCTGTGGAGTTGTTTGGTTTGGACAATGTTGTCTTGTCTCCACATGCTGCTATAGCCACGCCAGGGTCTTTCGAGAATGTTGTGGAGCTTGCTTTAGCTAACTTGAAGGCGTTTTTCTCCAACCAGCCTTTGATCTCTCCGGTTCGATTAGATTGAGAGAACGTATGGTTTGATCAAAGGGGCTAATTATCAATCTATTTTTTAACTATTGAACTACATGAGAAAGAAAAAAAAAAGAGAAGTGTATTGTTTATCATTGACTCCTATATTATAGGAGAGAATACATAGAGAGCTGCCTGGTTATCATTGACTCCTATGTCATAGGTGTTTATCCAACGCTTTTGTCAATTGCATTAGCATTTTTATTCATGTTCAACTGCCATTCTGTGCTTGTCATAAGTCATGAACATTTACAAGAACAAGAGTTACTGAACAGAACAGAAGGAACATTCTCTTTTTAACTTACCCAACTTCTTGGAATATGGCAACAGAGAGCTGCCTAGTTTTCATATTTTGAGGATCCATTCAAAGCTGTTGACTTCTTGACAAGTGATATCATGTTGTTTTGTAGTTTACTCCTGCAAACAAGTTACTGCTTTTACTAGTAGTCACAAGTATACTATGGAAACACATGCAGACAAGAAGAAGAATGCTCTAGAGGGACGTTCATAAAAAAAAAACAATCCCCACAGAGTAACCAAGTCTTTATCACAAATCCTACCAAGTTGCAGAAGCGACAAGGGATATTAGTGTAAAGACCAATCAAAGTTGATGAATAACAAATATTATGTACCACACACGCAACTTAACTAACAACAAATTGACAATAACCACGACTGACAAACTGCCAGAAAATTCAGCTATAGTTGTGTGCTCTTAAACCCCAATAAGATGACACTCTCCTCAAGGAGCTAAGAATCTAAGAAGTAACTACAATTCCATTTTGTAATCTCTCCAGATCATCATTGGTTTGCTTAATTGCTTTGATAAATGACGAAATCAAATTTAAACAGTACACTTATCCTAAAATGTTCCCTATCTATGATTGGTCTCCAAAAAAAAGGCAACCAAACAAATAAGAGAGTATAGTTTGGTGGGTCCACATAACGTAAGTGATATAAAGATAGACTCAGGTTCTGAGGACCTTTACCTTATCAAGAAAGTATCAATGTCTGAATCTCCACTCGTCCTCGTCCACCGGCCACCGACATTTGATTACATGGACGAGCTTCTGAGCCATAACTTCCGTATTCTCACCACTCACCAAACCTCATCGGCTCCACTCCCGGTCTCCCTCTCCCGTCACGCCTCCTCCATCACAGCCGTCCTCAACATGGGCATGCTCAAGATTGACGCCGACCTCCTCTCTCACTTCCCTTCTCTCCAGCTCATCGTCTGCACCAGCGTCGGCACCGACCACATCGACCTCCCTGAGTGCAAGCGTCGCGGCATCTCCGTCGCCAACGCCGGCGAAGCCTACTCGGAGGACGTGGCGGATTGCGCCGTTGGGTTGCTGATTAGCGTCCTCCGTCAGATTCCGGCGGCTGACCGTTACGTCCGGTCCGGGAAGTGGGTGAAATCCGGAGACTTCCAGCTAGGGAGCAAGGTTTTTTTCAAGAAATGGCATCTCTTTTTAATCATTGTAGGAGAAAGACGATAACTTTCTTATCAAGAGCGATGATGCTCTGTTTTTGTGCTCTGTTTTGTGGTTTTGATGATACTCTGTTTTGTGGTTGTGATGATACTCTGTTTTTGTGCTCTGTTTTGTGGTTGTGATGATACTCTGTTTTTGTTGCAGCTAAGCGGGAAGCGAGTTGGGATACTTGGACTAGGGAGCATCGGGTCTCTTATCGCTAAAAGACTCGAACCCTTTGGTTGCATCATCTCTTACAACTCGAGGAGACAGAAACAGAGCATCCCATACCTTTACTACCCGGACGTTGTCTCCTTAGCAGCAAACAACGACGTCATCATCCTCTGCTGCGCTCTGAATGATCAAACGCGTCACATTGTGAACAGAGAAGTGATGGAGGCGCTTGGGAAGAACGGGATTATAATCAATGTGGGACGAGGAGGACTGATTGATGAGAAGGAGATGGTTAAGTGTCTGGTTGAAGGTGTGATTGGTGGTGCCGGTTTAGATGTGTTTGAGAAAGAACCGGAAGTTCCTGAGGAGTTGTTTGGTTTGGATAATGTTGTCTTGTCTCCACATGCTGCTATGGAAACGTCAGGGTCTTTAGACAATATTGCGCAGCTTGCTTTATCTAACTTGAAGGCGTTTTTCTCCAACCAGCCTTTGATTTCCCCGGTTCGGTTTGATTGAGAGATCGTCCGGTTTGATCAAAGCAGCTAGTAACCAACCTATTTTATTTTTTTTAATAATGTGATTATGAAAAAAAAAAGTATATTGTTGATCATTGACTCCCATATAGGAGTTGACAAACAAAAAAAAGACTCCCATATAGAGGAAGACAGGGAGAAGATATCAAAGTCAAGATGCTAATGCGTAATTATAGAAGCGTTGTGTGGAGGAATTAAATTACTTCCAAAATATTTTAATGATCAAATAATGATTTAAAGTTTTCGAGTTTAAAATAGTTAGAAGTCAAACCGAAAATGTCTATATTCCAGTTTATATAGGCTTTTGCCAATTGCATTAGCATTTTTATCCGTGTTATCATGTCGTTTGCTATGTGTGTCTGTTTTTTTTTTTCCTTTAGAGTTGTACTTTTTGTTAAATTGATATGAACTCCATATGGAATTAGTGATTTATATACTTGTAATTTTTTGGATAAATAAAGTTGTACTATACCTGACAAAAAAAATAAGCTCCATATTCGTTTTCCATGTGTTTTATATAAAAAAAAACTTTCATTTTATAAATGTGTAAGTTTATACTACAACTTCACTAGGAAACTACTCATGGATATGAAACTGAAGATGAACCGATTGGACGACCATTTCCATTTATTAATTAATCTCATCAAATCCCAAATGTCGTTGATGTATTGCTTACCTCATCAATCCCATATGCCAGTAACGTCATACTGCGCATTGTCACGAAGACACACCTTGGAGTTTAAGTACATTTGTCAATGAGGAAGAATTTAGCAGACACCATTTCAATAATTAGACGAACACCACATTACCATTCAATAATTCCGCACACATCACATTTTTTACGCCACTTTGTCCGTCTTGTGGCATCACAATTCGACTCCAACTTTCCTTAAATGATTGAATTCGGCCATGTGAGTCTAGACAGAAACACACACATGCACCCATTGTTCCAATAGTTCTCTCACAGCGCATATAATGGACTCAACTCAATGATTCGTTAATTATTAGTCGAAACATAATAATTTATTTAGATACTCGTAGTTTTTTAGTAAAACTATATAGGCTGAAACTAACTTTTGTGTCAAAATGTAGAATTTGAGTTTACATGATTCTAGTGTTAGTTTTCATGCACTTTTAGTTCAAAATCAATAGTTTCGATCGAGTGAGTTAGTAGGTGTTTCGGACATTAATTGTCTTGTTCCATTGAGATGATGAGTATTTCTGTCAGATTAGTTGGGTTTCAGCCTATATACCCTAGTTAATAAACTTTTAAGATGTGCTTTTGCGTAAATATTTGATAGTGAAAAAAGTTTGATGTACATTATATAGACCTGCGTACACGCACGTATGAAGTGAGTATATATAAGACCCGGTTAATGTAAAAATTAAAAAAATACCTTCCTGTTAAAACGTATTCTTAAGATTTATTTTTCTTAACCAGTTCATAAATTAAGCTTTATATAAATGACTAATTAAGAGTTACAAGAAAAGAACAAAACGAGTTAGATTTTTGAAATGGAAGATGAGTCTTTAGTTTCTCCGGTCGTCCTGGTTCACCGTCCTCCGGCTATAGACTTTATAGATGAGCCTTTGAGTCATAACTTCACCCTTCTCTACACACACACCTCGCTGGTACCTATCCCGGACTTCCTCTCCCGTCACGCCGCCTCCGTCAGAGCCGTTGTCAGCGTCGGGCTTCCGATGACCGCCGAATTCATATCGAACCTCCCTTCTCTCGAGGTAGTGGTTTGTGCTAGTGTCGGCTTCGATCACGTGGATCTTGATGAATGCAAGCGTCGTGGAGTCGTGGTCACGAACGCCGGCGACGCGTTTGGGGAGGATGTAGCAGATCATGCAGTTGGTTTGCTTATTGGCGTTCTCCGCCGTGTTCCTGCCTTAGATCGATACATCAGGTCTGGTCAGTGGACGAGACTCTGGGACTATCCATTTGGGTTTAAGGTTTGTTTTCGACTATTTTTTCATGCATGTATTGTGGTTACTGGTTAGTTTAAAAATGGTCAAATGATAGTTTTTAACTAGTTATTACTTTGTAGAGTGTGGAAATGAAAGAAATATATCTTGCATGTGATCATAATTTTTAAGTTACAAGGCATGTTTGTTGAAAATGAAATATCAATATATGTTTGTTGAAAATGAAATATCAATATCTTGCATGTGATGATAATATATATATTTTTTAATTTATCATCGGGTTATAATACATGGATTTGAATCCGAATGGTGACAACAAAACAGCTTTTAATTAAAAATTTTTTAACAATATTTATTATTATTTTGTCTAACTTGATCTTATAAATAACAAATTATGTCATGGTTAAGTTAAAGACATTAAATTTTATGTGATAAAATACATTTTTGATGGAATACAACCTTTTTTCTCCAAATTTGTAGTCAAATGGTTGTCAATGTTATTATGGCATCAACTGGATTTAAAATCGCATATTAAATGCTATTAGCAAAAAGAAAATTGTTTTTACGCAATACAACTTCTTCTTGCGAACTTTTTAAAATATTTTCTGCATACTACATGTCTATATAGTAATCCCGGCTAATTTGTTTTTACATTTATGATAAACTAAGATAACATGTCGACTGGACTGGGCCTGATTTATAATCAAACTATGGACTGGACTCGGCATGTACCCTCATTTTTCTTCTTCTGCAATTTAATTAGATAACCATGTATCATATCAACAGAAGAAAACCTGAGAATTTACAACTCCTTCCGTTTCAATTTAATTATCATTCTAGAATTTTGTACACAATTTAACAAAACAATTAATTTTACATATTTTCAAAATAAAAACACAATTATCTATACACCTAACCTCTTTTCAACCAATGAAAAAATAGAATAACATTTAAAATCAATAAATTTTGTATTGAAATTATAAAACGATACTTATTTTGAAACGAAAATTTTATTCTAGAATGACATATAATTTGAAACGGAGGGAGTAATCATTTTAATTAGAAAACATTTTCGTTCAAAATAAAAAAACAAAATAACTAGAAAACATTTTATAAAACGAAAATGAATATAAGTGAAGGTTGATATATTTACATCTTAAATAAAAATCCAATTAGTAAGACATTTGTTTTAACATTAGTTCTACTTTTTCCTTTTCTATACTAGTCCAATCTGACAGTAGGTTTGTGGTTATGATCTTTAACTGTAGTTAAACAAAAAGAAAGTGGGGATAGTTGGGTTAGGGAGCATAGGCTCTCTAGTAGCCAAAAGACTTGAACCATTTGGCTGCATCATCTCTTACAACTCGAGAAGCCGGAAACCCGACGTACCATACTTTTACCACACTGACATTCTCTCTTTAGCAACCAACAACGATGTCATCATCCTCTGCTGCTCTCTTACTGATGAAACACACCACATTGTAAACAGAGAGGTGATGGAGGCGCTTGGGAAGAATGGGGTTATAATAAACATCGGTCGAGGCGGGCTTATTGATGAGAAGGAGATGGTAAAGTGTCTGATGGAAGGCGTGATCTGGGGTGCCGGTTTGGATGTGTTTGAAAACGAGCCGGGAGTGTCTGAAGAACTGTTTAGTCTTGAAAATGTTATCTTGTCTCCACATTCTGCTGGAATAACGGCAGGGTCTTTGGACAATGTCACAGAGGTTGTTCTTACTAACTTGAAAGCGTTCTTCTCGAACCAGCCTTTGATTTTCCCCGTTCAA